TATGAACTAGATTGGAACTTGGAAGAAGACTCTCTAATTCAAAAATATTGTTAGATCTTAAATAGTATTAAGAATTTGGTATTGATTTGAAACCGTTTGGTATTGATTGAATAATTCTTCAAACAATTTTTATTTGGTTTAGTCGATAAACCGCCCGATAATCGTTAATCTAATATCAATCCGCTCGTTGTCTTATTGGATGGCTAGCAGATTACTACATTTACAATCCGATAACTGATAAGACGAACCGTTAAACGTAATTATCTGCCCGCTCTACCCCACCCCTACTTTTTATAACAGTTCAAGCTCTTCAAACAATTTAACATGATATAAGACCAACCATACGTTCTGGGTCTGCGTCTCACCATCATCAATTTCACGTGCCTACTTCCAAAAGAGTTTGACTTCATATAAAGAAATATCTCGAAAATCTAAAATAACTAAATAAAAATATCTATTTTTTCAGTAGTTTTAACTTTTACATGACACGAATAAATAATATCAGCAAATTTGTGTGTAAGATTCATAGGGCAAAGAAAGGTGAAATCATACCTCCAAATTAAATTTTGTTTTTTAAACTCCAAATTTGTCTAAAATATGATATTGTTTCCACATATATCCTTACGAATCATTCTCATGAGCCATGTGACTCATGAGTACTCCTTATTTCTCTTGGGTTGGAGTCAATCATGGATTTGAGACACGAGATTTGATTCAATTGGTAAATTGGAGGATAGTGCCGTGCATTATTTGGGTCAAATCGAAAATTCAAACCTATTCATGTTATTCGGATTAGTTCAGATCAAATTTTAACTCTTTGGATCGAATTTCGGATTAAAAACTTAATTATTTTAGATATTGAATCTGATAAGATTTGGCTTGATTTAAATCCAAATCGATCCGAAATTCGAAATATAAGATCTACATATAAAAGTGAGGGTGCCGTCAGGTAAATCTAGGTTTCGTTTGTCTTATTTCTCTCATATTCTTTCATGAAGAGCACATATTGATAGAATTAAAGGCTCTCAATGGGGTCTAATGCTAGTTGAGAAGCTTGCAACATTTTGATGTTGATTGTCTTGTGCAAAATAATAGGAGAAGTTGTTTAGGCAGTAAAGACATCAAAGTATATTTCATTATCTGGCAGCAATTAGTTAGAAATTTGGACAGGTCTTATTTCTCTGAGTTTTCTTGCTGAGAAACACAAGTGAGGTTAATCATGTCCTTATATTTTTGTTCTAGTTGGGTATGTGATGGTTGAAACGGGTGTGCTTTTGCCTGTTTCTCAATCTAAGTGTGTTACGTTGTGATCTTACATAGTTTCATGAAAATTTTGAATAATTGTATGGAATGTTGTGTATGACTCGTTAGTTATAGCTAGCTATACTTAAAGTCTTTTATTTTAACATCTTAATATATAAGGCTTACAATCTGAACCGTAATCCGAAATATTTATTCGATCCAAATATCAAAATCCAATCCGAACCGAATTTAATTTGGTTCGGATTCGGATTGCAATTCACCAAATCCGAAATTATAGTCCAAAATATGCCAAATCCGGTCTAATCTGATCCATGAACAGGCTTATTGGTGGGTACGTGACTTCTTGGTAACCAATAAAAGTTTTTTCTTTATTATCTCCATAATGTTTAAAGAAATATTTTAAATTATAGACATAGTTGGAAATCATAATAAATTTTGTGGGTCAAAGGAATTTATTACATCAAATGCAAATTGTATGACATTAACAAATTACACACTTGTAACCCTTTTGAAAGAGGTATAAACCTCACTAAAAAGACAAATATATTGAGGGAGATGTTGACATCAATTGTCTTGTATTAATGATAAGATTTTAACAAAACACTTAAATTCAATTACTAGTAACTAGTAAGGAAGAAGAAACTCCCGTAAGATAGGAGTGAACATCGCCGCTTAAATGGGCGTTTGGACATAAGAATTGTGAAATTCCGAAAAAATAATTTTTTTCAAGTTGAAAATGGTATTTGAAAATTAAAGTTGTATTTGTACATGAATACAATTTGATGATGTTTTCAATTTCTGTGAGTTCTTTGAAGTGAAAATTTTAAAAAACAGTTTTTTGGAGTTTTTCAAATTCCAGAATGGGTTGCTCTAGTGGTAAATATCCTCCACTTTCAACCAAGAGGTTGTGAATTCGAGTCACCCCAAGAGCAAGGTGGGGAGTTATTGGAGGGAGGAAGTCGAGGGTCTATCGAAAACAGCCTCTCTACCCCAGGGTATGAGTAAAGCCTGCGTACACACTACCCTCCTCAGACCCCACTAATGAAAGCTGTTGTTGTCGTTGGAGTTTTTCAAATTCCGAAAAATTCTAAAATTCAACTTCAAGTGAAAAATCAAAATTTTCACGACTAAACGCAAATTTCAAAAAAAGTGAAAAAATTCGAAGAAAGGAATTTTTTTTATGGCCAAACGGACCCTAAATATTTTATAAAACGTCTTTCTTGCTTTGTATTCGGTCATTAAAATTAAAAAAAATTGACTAGTCTCATTATAAAAGTTCATACCTATCTTTAACCAAAAACTTTATTATTTTTGTACACGTCTTATATGTCAACATCTCTAAGCATCCCAAATAAAGATAGAACCAAAAGGGATAATCACATCCTTTTGAAAAGAATTGCTTAAATCCTCTCCTAATCTCCTATAATAGGGGAGAAGTATATTATTATCTTATTAGTCCTTGTCAGGCTCCATAGATTACTAAATCTACCTTTGTAATCAGTGACTTAACAATGGATTAATTTAATGAATTAGAAAATTTTATTTTATGTCTCTATCATTGAGGATACACCTGTGCACTTTATGTAAACAAAGGAGCAAAAATACAAAAGGAGCATACACCTGTACATCTGTTTACCTAGAAAATCACTTTAACAAAATTTAAGAATCTTTGGTCTTTATGTTTACACATTGATTTGTGCTTAATTAAGCTAATCCAACCACTCTAACCATAAAATGAAATTATTTTACCATAAACAATTATGGTGGGATGGATTGAATTATTTCACCTTTAATTTTAGGTCTTGTGTTCAAGTTTTGAAAATAATTTTTTTCTTAGTAGCAAACGTTTTCTCCATTAATAACATGTCTTACGTGGCGTGATCGAGTAATCAAGGTGCGTGTTAAGTTGACCCGGAGACTATCGCTACCAAGAAAATAAAATTGAATATCCATTTGTTATTCCAAATCCAATAGACTATTTTTTACCCCAAGCATCAAATTAAAACTAAAGACCTCTTTTTAGGTTAATTTTGTAAGTTGAGCTTTTAGACATCATCAAAGGATAATGATACATGCCATAATATAATAAAAATATTTTGGAAGCTTAGGAAATGTTTTTCTTATTCGACTTATCTCTTTTTAGAATTAAGACAATAATAGAGATATTGAAAGCTTTCATCATTAATTCTATCTCATAAATTAACTTCTTTCACGCATGCGATTATTTTTATTATTTTTTATTTTTTTGGTCCAAAAAAATGGATGACTTATCATATAGAATTGACATCTTAATAAATGATATCTTAGAGTTTATCATCTAGAGTTGCATAAATTAAAATTTCAAAGACCTATTATTTACTACTTTATTCATTAAATCCCTTAAAACATTAGTTAAAAACATTCATGAATTTTGTACATAAAACCTACTATTCAAGTACATCAAGAAACATCATGATTAATAAATTTGCCTCTTAAGATTATTAATAATTATGAGACAACTGAATACTTTAATTGATTTTCCTTACCTTTCTTTTTCCAAAAAAGGTAAAGAAAATATTCTTGTTTTCCAAAGTACTCCTACTATTTTGAGTAAAAAGTTTCCTAGTTTCTTCAACTTCAATCAACCAACAGACTTTCCATAATTACTTAAATGGGCTTCTATCTTTTGTTGCCAAGTCAACTGTGGTCCAAAAATAAGTGTATGGAGAAAGTATCAATTAAATCATGACTCATCATATCCATATATAGATAGAAAGCAAAAATATTATAATCTTGAGGTGCTAGTCGTTGATAAAAATACTTGTAAGCAATATAATCAAACATCTTTATAATAAAGTCGTTTGTTTCGAATATATTTAGCTGCTATAGTGAAGTACTATATAAAGAATAAATATTAATATAACAGATGAATATCTGTTATAGTAAAGTTTGTTATTGAGAATAACTATTATTTAACATTTAAAAGGGTAAAGAATTTGATTCATGTGCTTGCTTTTCATTCTTGCATAAGGGAATTTTGTATTGGAGTGATGAATTTATCTTGAAAATACAATTGATAATTAAAAAGAATAATAAGAAGTTTTGAGAGTGGGAATCAATTTCCTTTGTTTCCCATTAACGCTACAAATCCTGCATATTTTGAAGTGTTTTGGAATGTTTAATATTTCTTCATAAATAATGGAGTATTATTTTGCAGAAAATTATTCGTTTAAATTATTTAATCAATAAAATCTAAATATTAGGTGATAGTTTCTCCAATTCTAAATATTAATCATTTTAGCAAATTGAGTTTGTATTAAAATATTTGACGTCTTAAAAAAAGTAAGAAGCCATTCATTTTTTTCTCAAATTTCTTCTTACTGGTTCAGTTAGTTAAATGTCAAAATAAATAACACATTTAAAAGAAAAAAATAATTTAATCAATACTCTTATGATTAAAACTATTTGATATACTTTTATTTTAAAGAAAACATAAAGGCAACTAAACATAAACCAAATATGTTCTGTTGTGACGTGTGAGCATATAAAGCTCACGGGAGCAATAAATTACATTCTTAAAGGCTATAAAAGGAAAGTCATAAATAATAGAGCAAAAAATAAAAAATAAAAAAGAAAACAATATTATTATTTATTAAAAAAATAACACTGTATAGTCGATGTAAATATAATAATTATATATATTATATATA